GTAAGTAATTTTTTCTGTATTTTAATGCTTTGGGCACTTTTGGGCACTTTGGGCACTGTTTTGGGAAAACAGAAGCGGACGCCCAATAAAACCACATAATTTCGTTTTCAGTGATATAATTGGCTAGTATTTTAAGCTCTCATAAAACAATACAAACTCTAATAAAAAATCTCTTCTAAACTGCAACCTCCCAATCCGATATATATATTTAACGGGCTTTGCTTTCGTTTCGCTTACAGTGAATTCTATTGGTCGCCTCGAAAAAAACAGAAATTGTCGTCTTTTGTTTTTTGCTACGAACGTCGCCATACATAAAAACTAACGCTGATATGATTCCTCAAGTACAAGCTACAACTCACTGACATTTTCCCAGCTAAAGAGTACTTAGGAAATTCATTTCTTGCAAGAGCAGGGATCATCCCGTTGTACATGGTCGCTTTGCTTTGTTCCGCTCGTTGAGTAATCGCTGTTACCTTCTTCGCGTAGTGAGCCTTCGTGAACAGAGATAATAGTTCCACCGTTTAACAAAATGTTTCGCTCCGCTGTCGGCATGCCATCTATTACTTAGAGAGATAGTCGTAGTCGGTTATTGGATGATGTTTCTAGTCGAGCAGGTGACCAGAACGACTTCTACAAGTGATCACTGGTAATAACAGCCTCGGTGCAAGTGAGCAGCGCGAACGAGGCGACGATTCAGTTAAACACAACTTGTTCAACCCATGGCTCTTGGATGTTATGTGAGATCACCTAGGAAATTGCGAAATGAGCTGTATAACTATTAATATCAATCGCGTTAATATGGCAAGCTTAGCGTGTACAGCTACTGCAGTACTACTGATACGGTATCATGTACTAGTATTAGTTGTGGTACAAAGCGCCTTACATAAACAGGTTTAGCCCGAATATGATACGGTATCATGTACTAGTATTAGTTGTGGTCCAATAGCCCGAATATTTCTCAGAATAGTTACAGCCCGTAAACAATGAGACCCGGGACCGAATGGTTGTCCGTACACACCAATTGCAAACATCCGGTAAACCACTTCTGCTCTCTTGTAAATTCAGATCCAGCTGCTTCACCTTTACCACTGCACTTTTGGTATAGCTTCGTGCTTTCAGTTCTTGTTATTTTGTCATTTTACAGTCCAACTTCACTTAGTAGTAGTATCTGTCGGCAGGTCAAAAACTACGCTCGCATTAGAGCGATAAGTATTATGTTAAATTTCGAACTTCTCGTGAATTTCTGCGAGTATTGTAAGTGCATCGTAACGAAACGAGTTGTACTACCCATACACGCGACACGGTGCAGGTTACCGCCGCACGACGCTCTGCATACGGACCCATGTATCTACAGTACTTGACTGAAGCAAGATCTTCGGGAGAACATCAGGAATTTAACACTGTACAACTGCTACGGTACATGTATATTTTATGAAAGTCGCTGTAAACACATCGTATAGCTGTCATTCAACGCCACGAAGCAAATCGCAAGGTGAATCATCACAAATAGTGTTGTGAATCACGCTCCTAATTAACATAAACCAGTAGAAAAGTACAGAATAATACGCGTGAAAGTCAACATGCCACTGATATCATTCCAATATCTCAGCGGCAATGGTGATCGCTTGGCAGCACTTACCCAGCGCGTTGCTTGCTTATTAAGGTTCCATGGAAGACAAAGCGGTTAGCATTTTTGGTAGTCTAGTAATGGCTATAGTAACACAATCTAACTTTACAATCCGGTGCTTTGTACTAGATTATGGTAATACCACAAAGTACGCACTGCTTGTTGACAGCCTGAGTTCAGCATATCCTAATGAGAGTTTGCATTTTTACACTTCGGCGAGATATACCGTGATCAAAAATTTCGATTCAAAACCGTCCAACGGAAGTGCATCCCGTTTATATTCTATGACAGCTACTTATGCGGTCCTTCCACTCTGCAATTTGCACTCTCGATCGCAACTCGCTAACCAGTCCATCGTTTCACAATGCGAGTGCTACAGTTGATCATTTTGATTGGGTTCGCATCAAGCCTCGCTGTTGCCGCTGCTTCTACCGACTTTGGAACGACCGGTGTTGTAAAAGCCGGGTCGAATGTTAATGTTAATCATCTGTCTCGCGTGCTGTCCGCTGACAAAGCTAAGCGATCACTACGACGGTCTGATCTCGACAAGCAGCCCGAAACCGATTCCGACGATGAGGAGAGAGGTGGCCTTGACAAGGTGGACGACGTCGTATCGAAGGTAGACGATTTGGCAGGGCACGCCGGGAAGGGTCAGAGCAATTTGGACGCTTTGATTCAGAAAAAACTACGACGAATTTGCTGAGTTTGCTACACAAGGAAAGAAGCTTGGAAAAGGGCTAGAATTTGCTCAAACCGGGGGGAAATTAAAAACTCTGGCGACCAAGTATAAGGCCGAGTTGACTGAGTGGTCAAAACTAATAAAACAACTCACAGGTCAGTATCCAGAAGCGGACAAGTTAACCCTCTCGACGCTG